TTCTCTATTTATTTATTTTTAATTTGACCAGGGAGGGACAGAGCAAGTGAGAGAAAGTGAGAAAGCAAGCCGCCAGGCCCAGGACTCAAACCGTGGTCAGCCAAGTGGGAGTCCAATGCCCTTAGCCACCCGCTGCCCCATATCCCTAATATCTGAAGCCTCCTTGGGGATCGCCCAGACTTTTCTCCTCCATCTCCCTGCCCCTGCGGTGGAGGCCTCACCCTGCGCCCTGGTGCTTCGCAGCAAGGCAGACGTTTGCAGTGTCTTGGTCTGTTTCCTGCTGCTGGGAAGGGCGCCAGGGACAGGTCGTGGGGAGTGACGGTGTGCCCTCACGGCCTGGGCTGCACCAGCCAGGGTCGTCTTGCTGTCAGTGGCCAATCACCCTCACAGCGAGCGTGCTGGGACCTTTCCCCCGGCAGACCCCGGATGGCCTGGCCACCTCAAGGTCCTGCCTCCCAGTACCCCACAGGGAGTCCTCCACATGACCTTGGAGACACCTTCAGAGACAGCCTACCCTCCCTCTCCTGGAGTGCGGCCCATGACAGGTGTGAAGAGCAGAGGTGTGCAAAGGCCAGGGACTCCTGGGAATTTCCAGCAGAGAATGGAAGCCTGGGCTGGGCAATTCAGCCCCCCAAGGCAGCGGCCTCCAGCCTGGGGCTCTTCTGTATCGGGGTGTGCCTCCGACGTCCTACCTGCTTCTACCTCAGTCCTGCCATGCCGGCCCTTGTCCCCGGATCTCGAGTCTTCAGGCAAACCATGAAGCGTCTTCGCTTGGAGAAAGCAGGGGTGGGACAGGAACAGGTGGCGGAACTGCACTTGGGAACAGGCTAGGCTGCTGCGGTTTTCCCCGCCACGTCGCACTGTGCGGAGGACACCTGACCCCCGCCTCGGTTTGCTTCCTGATACGAGAACTGCGGGGAGGGAAGGCCAGGCCACCGCAAGGCAGCTTCGCAGCGGCCAGCATGAAGATGGAGAAAGGGTCCCTAAGGGTCACAGTTGTGGAAAGCGGTGGCAGCCGAAGCAGACGGTGCACGGAGACGCC